ATTGCCTTCTCTACAAATGCGCGCGCTTTTATATGTCGCTTTGTCGCTGAGAGTCGTTCTCCGATTGGTCCATGGAGTTATGGCGAGGGAAGAGATTCATTCCTTTGCATGATGTCACCGCGTCGGTGTCCTGAGTGGTGTTTGGGATTCAGTTTTCATGCTCCTGTTTATGTTGACTTATCGCACTGAGCGATAGCGGTTTCTTTGGGTCGATCCGTCGATTTCGAGACTCTCCAGCAGCACGCAGCATTCGGCATTTTAATTATAATGTTTTAACGCTCGCGAATATGCATATGCGCACGTACTTACATCTAGTAACGTAGGGATAAAATATCTAGTGATGTCTGAAATCAGACAAGTCGGCCTCCCGGTCTATAATAATATATTATTAATGTTCTAAAATAGATCCGGACGTTACAATATAAAGGTGCGTTCCTTTATTTACTGTGAGTACTGACACTAGACGTCATAAAAGTATACTGCTATTGGCTTGGTTTACATCGTGCACTTGATACGCGTACTAAATAGTAACTTTCTATTAAATAATCTTAATATCGACGATATATATAAACAACGGTGTATTAAGCTGATATAATACTTATCAACAAAACATATTATATTAATTGAATGCGTCGCCGTTGATATGCATTGTGGATATTAAGATTATCTAATAGAAAGTTACTATTTAGTACGAGTATCAAGTGCACAATGAAAATCAAGCCAGTAGCGTTCCGTTTTAACTTCGAGCACTGTCGAGGTGAGTGAGTCCCAGATGCACACATTGACAAACGGACACATCCAATCATATGTCGTTGTTTATAGAGTCTCTAGAATATCTCTAGGCATACGGCGTTGTGGTTGGCTGTGTCCGTTTGTCAATGTGCGCATCTGGGACGCTCCCGTCGATCGATCGAAGAGCTGTAAGGTGACAAATGGGAACGCATCATCTTACTGCCACTACTTTATCTCTCCAGCTGCAGTAGCCGCAGCAGGAAGTGACAACAAAATTCATGACGTCAAACTAGTCGAAATGCTTTCGCAGTAACCTATTTAAGAGCGCTGTTGATAGTGCTGACAGTACTTGCAGTAAATAACGGAACGCAGCTAAAAGCTGCGCAATAATAACGAAACTATTGTTAACTCTAATAAGTTATAGAATTCCAGCACAGGATTTGGCTATGACTCCTGCAGACTCTTAAGTTTTTCATATAATTGAAAGCGGAAAGTATCATTTTAGTAAAACATCTGATCTCGACAACTTGAAAATAGCTTACACGAGGAAGAAAAAAATATTCGTCACTATTTACCCCACTCTCCCTTATATATTTCAGTGAATTAAACAGATCGTGTAATAGTTTGGTAACAGATTGACAGCAGAAACCGAGCCAACTCTACTGTGCGGAAGAACTTGACTTCTACTGTCAATCTGTCATTAAATCATGTTAGCAGACCTTGTCACCAGAACACGAATTTAATATGAACATAGATGGTTATACTTTCGCTGTGGAATTGAATTTGTTGCCAATTTGCCAGCATTTTATTTATTGAAGTCGTGCTAAATTAGTCTTCTTTAGGCATTTTGATCATTTGATTAGACTATTATGGCAGATTTGTAACCACTTGAGATCTCATAAAATGATTAAACTTATTTTGTCAATAATTTGCTGACATAATTTGGCAGCAGAAACTAAGTAAGATCAGCAGTTCTTTTTAAATGTTTATGAAACAAATGTCATCAATCAATCATATGCTGCTAGCAGATCTGACGCTTTAGTTAACAAGCTGTTAATAAAAGTTATAGCAGATACCGCTTAAAATCTGCTTCTACAGATTTAATTATTTGGATAATGTAATATACAGTCAATAATTGATAAATAAAAGTTTAGAAAGCATAAAATAGAGCTCTATCAATCTCCTCATTATTAATTATTATATTAAGATATTTACAATATACAATTAACAACATATAAATACAGATATTACAATGATATATTTTTCATGATTCGCTTTTATACTGCTTTTCCATCTTTTCCAAACGTTTTTTCTCAACTGTAGCATTATAATCATAAATAAATGTGTCCACTTGCTCAAATATCTGTTTACTTTGAGCTGGAAAATACTCTTTCTTCGTTTTTATTACCCACTCTTCAAAATTATTTGGTTGATTAAAATAATAAAATATTCCCACAGGAAATGATACATACATAAACATTTTAGCAACTTCAAATTGCCAACCCATCTTTCAGATACCTATAAAAATTAAATATGTTAGCCATAACTATATACTTATTTATAATATTTATTTAATACAACAGTTTATAATATATCAATTTAATTTATATATAATATGGCAATTTCCAACTTAAATTTCTGCAAATATATGGACATAGAGAAAATTATAGAAGACTAGTATAACATTTTTGTATAATTTCTAAACCAATACTTCACTACTATATATAAAATTTTTTCCTTCTAAAGATTATTATAATTCCATGGTCATAGAAAATTATATATAATGTTAACCAAAAATAAAAACACATACTTGTCTTCACATCCAAATATGTAAAATACAATCGTTAACTGAATCTAATTTACAAGTATAAAACGAAAATGACAATACGATATTTTTAAAAACATAATTATAGTGTATAGATATATAGCATAATTGATTTAAATGTATCTGAGGTATATATATATTTTTTTTTTGGATAAATTTTAATATAAAAAAAATGTTAATTTTTTATAGTTATCTTAGGTTATTTAAAGTTTTTAACAAATATTGACCTTTCTTTTAACAGTGATCTTTTTTTGGATTTGTTTTCTATTGTAGAATTATTCTTGCACTAATTTGTGCACTAGTACTCATTTCTTCTTTCTTTCACAAGTCCCAACTATCTATTTTTTTTGCAGAGTTTGCAGGAGTCGTAGGCAAATCCTGAGTTGCGTTTGGAGACCTCGTATGGCGAAAGCGCGAACCATTGCCATCTGTGTATAAAGCGTCTTCTACAATGGCAGTAGGAGTAGTAGTAAGAAATAAGCAGTAAGCAAATTGACCAATTCCATTCTCATGTTTCAAAAACAATCGATTGTGATTAGTCTATTTACTTACTGCTTATTTCTTACTACTACTCCTACTGCCATTGTAGAAGAAGCTTAAGGATGCGTTCAAATGGAGAAAGAAATAGCGTAAGAGCTAGAAGGTTATTACGGAAAGCAGCATATTGATTGGCTGTCGCGCGAACTTCCGCCGCGCGGCAAGCATTACCGCGTCCTGTGTGCAGGAGCCATAATAGAACAGTTATGGTTCCTGCCCACAGGATGCGACAATGCTTGCTGCACGACGGAATTTCGTGCGACAGCCGATCAATATGCTGCTTTTCTGTAAGAACTAGAAGGTTATTACGGAAAGCAGCATATTGATTTGCTGTCGCGCGAACTTTCACCGTGCGACAAGCATTATGGCTCCTGCACACAGGACGCGGTAATGCTTGCCGCGCGGCGGAAGTGTGCAGGAGCCATTAGGCTTGATCTACAATAGGTGGAGTAAGAAGTAGGAGTAGAAGTAAGACGAAATGGAAATAATTTATTTCGCTTACTCCCTTACTCCAGCTCCTTACTTCAGCTCTTACTACTTAATTCAGGCTTATTCCGTGATGTATACGGGCAAACTTTTATTGGAGTTAGGGAGTAAGCGAAATAATTATTTCCATTTTGTCTTACTCCTACTTCTACTCCTTACTCGATTTATTGTAAATCAGCTCTTACGGAAAAGAGATATGGTGAGAGTCAGCCAATCGCAGTAATTCCGTTTTCGTTCTGTTTCGTTGTTTGATAGGTGGGTTTCACATGACACAGAATTATTACGGAACGGAACAAAAACGGAAAACATTCTAACCTATCGACATCGAAAACTGCGAAGGATGTCTTGTTTGTAACATGTTTCTAGCGACGGAGAAAACGAAAAGACTGTTTATTATAGCAAGTCAGCGAATATTTGAGAAGTATCATTAATATTTACTTATATATCAATGATACATTTCAAATATTAAAAATTCAAACATTGTTTCATTGATATATAAGTAAGTATCAATAAGTGCTTTCCAATTGCTTAACACATCTTGACACACACGTACACAAAACCAGTTTATTGATCACATATTATCTAAAAAATCTTGTAAGATAATGGCCGCGTTCCGTTTCATGCATATGCACGCATTTATCTATAGTTCGTGTTACGTATATTGTAGGCAATGCGAGCATAATGCGTGAAACGGAATGCAACCAATATACAATCATAACCTAAACTGGTTTTGTGTAACACAGTATACGCAACTGGAAAGCACCCAATGATATCTCTCAAATATTCGCAGACTTGCTTTAATAAACAGTCTTTTCGTTTTCTCCGTCACGAAAAATACGTTACAAACTGGATACACTTCACCACACTTCACTAATTTTCGATGTTGATAAGTTAGAATATTTTCCGTTTTTGTTTCGTTCCGTAACAGTTACCATGTAAAACCTACCTATCAAACAACAGAACGAAATAAAGACGGAATTACTCTGATTGACTGACGCCCACTATATCTTTTTTCCGTAAAGGCCTTAGCACGTAGAAAATTTTTAACCGTAACCGTAAAGTCGTAAGAAAACTGACCAATCAGAGTTGATTATTCTACTAGCATTCGAAAAATAATCGACTGTGATTGGTCAGTTTTCTTACGACCTTACGGTTACAGTTAAAATGTTTCTACGTGCAAAGGCCTTAAATGTTCCGTTACGCTATTTCTTTCTCCATCTGAACGCACCCTAACTGTTCCGTTCCGCTATTTCTTTCTCCATCTGTACGCACTCTAATGGCTTCTGCACACAGGACGCGGTAATGTTTGCCGCGCGGCGGAAGTTTGCGCGACAGCCAATCAATATGCTGCTTTCTATGGCTGCGTTCCGAAATTCACTGCCAGTACTGAAATTCTATAATATATGTAACATAAACTATAGATTTTCAGTACTGGCAGTGCATTTCGGAACGCAGCCTATAATAATCTTCTAGCTTTTACGGAAAAACAACATATTGATTGGCTGTCGCGCGGACTTTCGCCGCGCGGCAAGCATTACCACGTCCTGTGTGCAGGAACCATAACTTGTGTCTGCAGCCAGAGAGAAACCTGAGAGCGGCCACGCCATACGTTTTGGCCGTCATCGATTTTCACGTTGTTCGATGCGCCATCTGCATACATTTTTTAAGTGGAACTACGTTCCCTACGCCCATTTTCAAACGCTGCCGGTAAAGTGTCGATTTGTTGTGTGTCCATTCTATGCCCATTTTCTAGCGATTCGTGTCCGTGTTAAGCGCATAATTGCGTGATTAAAAACATGGACTATCCATGTTCTTAACCATGCAATTATGCTAACACAAATCGCCAGAAAATGAGCATAGAATGGACACGCAACAAATTGACACTTTACCGGCAGCGTCTGAAAATGGGCGTAGGGAACGTAGTTCCATCTTAAAAATGGGTGCAGATGGCGCATTGAACAGCGTGAAAATCGGTGTCGGCCAAAACATATGGCGTGGCCGCTCTCAGGTTTCTCTCTGCTGCAGCAAAACGTCTATCAACATCTACAGCGCCGCCAAGACCAACAACGGCTATTACGTATACTATCATATATTTGTGATTTCTATTTTACCATGTGAAAGATATTTTGTGTGTGTGTGTCCGTGATCATAAGTTTTCATTTCATTTGCGAATACAAATACAATACTACATGTATCATGTAATTGAACTTAAAGACTAAAATGAAATGCAAAATGAAGACACAAGTGAAACTAATTTCACACAATAACTGTTAATACATGCCATAGTTACAATCATATTATTTGTATTATATTTGTATTGTATTATATTTTAACTTAATGAGTTTATAAATATATTTACCGGTGTAATAGTTTTCATATTTTTCGATTGTCACTAATGGAAAAAAATATGAGAACTATTACGTCGATGAGTATAAATATGACATCTTAGAGAGCACAGACTTCAAAGAGACATTCAGAGAGACTATAAAGACATCCAGAGAACACTTCTATGTTTTTAAGACATCACAAGAATATTTCTAAGATGTCCCTTGGAAATTCGTGCTATCATTACGTGGTACTTTATAATGCAATTAAAAAAATTCAACTAATTACAATATAATATTACTTATGCGAATAATGCTACGTGTTTCCCCATAGTCTTTTTTGCATAAGCAGAATTATTACATTCTTTTATAATGCAGTATTTCATCTTGATATTATACTTTCACAAAAGAAGTCGTATTTACTATATTTTTTTTTATTACTTCTATTATATTATTACGTCTTTCCAATACGTACCCAGCAAACACAGATATATAACAGTTAATTACATTGCCATAATGAAACGGAATGTAACATGCAATGTAACATGTATGTAGTAAGTTATATAAACATTCGTAATTTCCTACTCACACGTGTTACAATTATATAACGTGAATGTAACATCAAAGTAATATGTGACTAAAAAGTTATATAAGAGTTATGTTATTCGTTAGCGAATTAACACATATATTTTTTTGTTGAATTCCAACGATTTATTCATTAGTATGATTCAAATAAGTGATAATGTATGATTATTTTGTTTAAATAATAAAAAAAAAACTGGCATTTCATATTTCGTGTCATTTCACTTATTCGTGAAACTCGCGTGTTTCCGATCCTGTGTCAGGCTGTCACCTATTTTTATATCATGTTGTTCAATGCTTAACTTCAACGATCGTCCGGGAACTGCCCAAATAGCACAAGACAATCCTATGAATATTTTAAAAATATTCTTCAAGAATATTTGGAATATTCCATAGGACATTCATATATATTCATTGTGTGTTCGTAGAACATTCGAATGGCACTAATTTAAATATTCTCAGAATGTGAATAGAATAATCTATATATAATATTCTATATATTAAGTTATGAATGTTTATAAAAGATTCTGAAAAAATATGAACAGAACACAGAACGTTTATATTTATAAAACTATAAACATTTTTCTCTTTTCGTGACTTTTTCTGAAATTTTCCACTTTATTGTTTCACACGCTACTTAATTCAATTTAAATTGTATTTCGAAAATTTGCATACCATGCTGGGATTCGAACCTAAGACCTCTGCTTCTTGGGTTGTTAAACTTATCTACTTCGCCACTGTCACTTTAACTGAGAGACGATTTATATTATATATATATGATATATCCATGTATGAAAACAAATGATTTATTTAAAAGTAGAGGATAGATCTTTTTAAATGTAAAATGTATGTTTAAAAAAATGTAAAAAGTATATTTAAAAAATATTTACTTGTTTTAAAATTAAATAAAATACAAATAAATCACTTTGAAATTTAAATAAATTGTTTTCTGATAATAAAAGAAAATTTAATTTGAAACAGAAAAAAGATACATTTAATATTACAAAATAATTTATTTAGATTTATAAAATGATTGCTTATATTTCATTACTTTTAAATTTACTTGTATTTACTTTCATTCACTTTTATCCTTATAGAAATATTATACTAAGAATCATTGATTAATTACTTATTTTCAGTATTAAAAGTACAGTATTTAATAATATTCTGTGATTTAAATACAGCTTTTAGTACTCAAGTATTTCAATATTTAATGTTACAAATCCTACCTTAAGATTGATTTCAATACTTAAATATTGATATGTAATACTTCGTCCATTGATAAAATACTTACGCAGAACATTATCAATATTTAAATACTAATATATAATACTTTGCTAAGTGATGAAATATTTACGCAAAGTGTTGTTAAGATTAAAAGTATTAACCCAGACAACATACAATATTAGTAAGTTATTAGATAAATATTTATAAATATTTATTTTAAATTACTTTTTTAAAATATTATGTATATATATATATATATATATATA